TAAGGTATTTCATTAATAATTAATAAAAACAACAACAAACGCTTAAGATTTCATTGGAGTGGCTGAACGCCTGAACGAGACGAACTCAAAACTGCAGACTAATCATGCTAATGTGGGTAAATTCAAACCCGCAATTTCCTTTATGATATAATTAAATATGCAATAATATTGAAATGTAAGTATGTTAACTATATCAAATATATAATATTAAAAATTTGAGTCACGAATAGGCCTATACGACGCAAACTTTGTCATCTCCGTAAGCTGGCGTAGCCTACCTAATGCTAACGTGGTTCAACTTCAGCTTACTTTCAATGTTTAAAAGACGTAATATTTACCTGTCTATAAGTTCCTGCTTTCGACCAGTTGTTACTGCACCTCTTTTTACCAATTCCTCTTTTATCTGTGGGACTTTCCAACGAGAATAACGCGAAGAAGTTTCATCCATGGTTTCTCCTTACTACGTTTACTAACAGACGCTTGAATTTAAGCGCTCTTCTAACCACCTCTAGTACCGTCGCGCCACCTAGCGAGTAATGACGTGAATACGTACTATTCTATAATAATTTTATTTAATTTTAAAACTTTTTAATACTGTCTATCTATATGCCATAGAGATATTTTTGTGGATAACATATCCTCTCAATGTCTGAATTTGTTTTTAAACTCTCATCACGGTCTTTGTTCATTACCCTGTAAATGAGCCCAGCTTTCAGTACTTCTGAGTACTTTGATTATTCACTGCATCAAACCTAACACAAAAACATGATGCAGTGATGTTACTTAACCATGCACCCAGCATTTGAAGTGAATGTGACCTTAAAAACCGCATAGTATATGTTAGGACAATGTCACTGAGTTCCAAATAAAGGTCTAAATAAAAACTATTCACCGGTATTTATTAACACCTCTTAATGCGTGAAGGAGTGAAAATTCTCAAATAACATTACCAATCAAAGTACCAATAAGAAGCTGATTCTTACATCACAGGTTCCAATCCCATTGCTAAATGCTTCAGACGGGTTACTCCAATGAGACCGCATACACCGAGATTCAGTGTCAAAAGGATCCCTTACTTCTCAAAGGCAATAAGTGCTGAGTACAAGTCTATATTTGCAGCTTACTATCCCAAGTGGTGGTATCATCAAATGACTGGAAAATGTTTGATAGGCCAATAATCAAACAAACCATTCCTGCAGTCATCTAAAAATAAGCAAACTTTCTATTATTACAATTGTTTTTACAAATTTCTTTGAGATTTAACTGAGCAACAATTGTGCAATTTTTTGTCAATAAATTTTGATACTAAAGACTTTGTTTGAACAGCTATTTATAGCAATTACAGACAGCAGCACGAAGCGCTGCTCATAGTGCAAGCTCTCATGACAACGCCTTGGCAAAGAGAAAATTATCACTTGCTTATTGATCCACACAATTTCTTTTCTGCAGTAACTTTGGACCCACAGTGCTTTGATTCTTTAAGCTACATTCTTGCAAGAATTGATCAAAAGTTTCCAAAAAATAAATTCACCTTGATTTAATGGATAAATTGCAGATAAATAGTGGGTGAAAAAATTCTTCATTAAAGTCAACACTATTCAAGATTTAGACTGGTAGTGTAGGCCTAACTTACACCACGACATCGTTTGACTTCAAAGTCTAGTGCCCTGTTCACATGGAGAGTTTAATTCGCAGTAAATGATTGCAAAGTAAACTAATGCGAATCAAACTAATGGGAATCAAACTGTGTTAACATGACAGCTAATGCGAATTAAACAAATGCGAATAAAAATTTTACTTCTACAGTCAAGTGTCAGTAAGGTTATCCACTCAAAAATAGCACAATTAAGTACTTAAAGCTGACCACCAACATGTAGCATTTGAATTAATTTTGCCATTACACATGCCTCAAAATTTAATTCGAATAAGCTTCCCTTTGTGTTAACATGGAGCTAATGCAAAGTAATTTAATTCGCAGTAAATTAATTCGAATTAATAAAACTAATTTCAGTAATTTGAATTAAACTCCCTGTGTGAACAGAGCATCGATGCACCAAATATCAAGTGCGGTTTGACAAGCCCGATCTAAATTAAAACTGAATAAGTATCTGCCCTCACCCTAACAGTCACACCGTCAACATATTGTTACGGTGTATATTCAACAAATAATAAGTGCAGTGTGAATTACCCCTCCATGGTTACTGCGGTATTGCTCTTTTGCAGGGCAAAATAATAACGTTTGGCAAAGTTTTTGTTGAGAGATAATTAAATGACGTATATTTAACAATTACTTATATGTCATATTTCACCAAACTATATCATTTTGCCCTGCAAAAGAGCAGTACCGCAGTTACCGTGAAACGGTCTATAAGAGTATCACTATGATGGTTAGTGTGGAGTGTTGATTTTTTGTTTTGAAAGTGAGTCTTGTTGAAATTAAATGCTCACATATATTTAAATAAAAAATAAAAAGCTGTTGGGATTTTAAAAGGCTAACAGGCTGTTGGGATTTTAAAAGGCTAACAGAAAGCGTCTGAGCCTTAAAACAGATAATGTATCGGTGTGTCTGTGTCGTCGTGTACCCTAAATTCGTCCGTACCCTAAAATCGTCCCCTAACTTCTCGAGACCAGCACGTTTCGAACTTTGTATCGATGACGTCATTTTTAATTGTTATGACTAGTGAACACAATGATGCAACTTTTTCAGCAATTATTTTTCAGAATATGCAGTTTAAACTAGTATTAAACTAAAAGAAAATAAAAATACTTAAAATATCTGATTTTTCCTTATGTCCATTTTTTATTGAAAGTGTACATGACAGTTACGTTCCTCAAAATTGCTTCCAGATCAAATATACCTTCATTTTATTTTATACCTGTCAGTGTAATGAATTACGTGCATGGGCTTTTAATTTAAGAATTTGATAAAAAGAAATCAACGCTCCAAAATCATAAGGAACCTATACACTTTCCACCTAGGATATTGACGTTACCCGTGTTTGGTTGACGTACTATGCGGTCATGCGGGCATCCGTAATTATTTCAGGGAAAAAATTTAAGTCATCACTGCAATGATTAAGTCTCCAAAAATCAAAGATTTTAACAGTAACTTTGACTAACAGCTGTGAATGCTTCCAACAATAGAAATTCTGTTGGTACTACAAATTAAAACAATTTATACTGTACGTGCTGCTGATTTTCCCTTTTCTTCTGTGTGTTTTGTTTTTGATAAGTTTTATATAATCGAGATTTTTCCTATACAGGAATATGTTATTGAGACGGCAAATAAATAAACCCAAATATATTATTTAAAAATATATTTACCATACATAAGAATTTATTATACCAGACCTTTAAAAAAAATCAGTCTTTCAACCTGACCAAGCAGTGATGATCACATTGTTTGAATAGATATACATTTGACCTTGCCCATGCAGTCACCAGTCCTGATCAATCCCCCCCCCCCCTTCTTGCAAAAGAAGGTCGGTAAGTAAGCAAGTAATCAAGAAGAAAATATTTTATTTATACAAACCAAGAATTTATTTAATTGAAGAGTCGTTTTATTAAACAGACCAAAGAAGGTGTATTTTTGTCACAATTTTTACCAGATTGACAGGTGCTATGTGCATTGAAGCATAACTAATCCAGCGGTCGTCTACTGGGGCGAACTTCACGATATCATCAAGTAAAAGAAGAGCTTTTTTGCAAATTCTTTAATTTCTCATCCAGGGGCGTAGTATCCGGGTGGGGGGGCCTGGCCCCCCCACTTTTTTTCCCAACCTTACTTACACTATAGGAAATGTTAATTCAAAGCCTGTTTGGCACCCCCACTTTTAGAAATGTACCGAAAATGTAGTATAAGAATTGGTACTAAAAGTAGTTGACACTGAAAAAAAGTTAACCTCCCCCCCCCCCCCCCCCCCCCCCCCCCCCACGAAATAGAATTGTCGACTTCGGGCAACTTTTACCTTTTTTTTTTTTTTTTTTTTTTTTTTTTTTTTGCTTGTTATCTTTTTCAGGTAAGTAAAAAAAAATTTTCTCTGCCTGGCCCCCCACTTTCAAAAACGATGCTACGCCACTGTCATCTACTGCAGAGCTAGTAGATGAAAAGTTTTTTTCCCCTGTAACGTGAATATTTTACATATATTTATATAATGAGGTAATCATTTCAAGTCTACGCATTAAATTCTAGTTTTTCTATTTTTTTTGGGGGGGGGGGGGTCAGATTGTGCCAGACTTGCACTATTCAAATATTTTGATTTTCTATCGGGTTTTGCCAATAAGGTCAATGAATTTTGGAAAATCTAAAATTAAACATTGTATAGCATTATTTGCGGCATATCAGGTACATGACATCGTTGATAATGTAAATCTAAAAGCACGTTCGAATACGTTCGTGTTTTTTTTATTTCGTTAAAGAAAACAGAGTCGGTAATAGCGAAAGCAATTTATTGTTCTTAAATTGATCAAAAAATATTTTAAATAAACCTTTTACGTAGAACTTATTTACAATTTTTATTTTAATGATATTCCAAACCCTTTTTAATCACAAAACACGGAAAACAAGTAGACCAATCATCTGCGGCCGTTTTATATCTGAAGGACGAAAATAGGGTATGGGTGATATTTTTAAGTGTTAAAGTTTGATTTTGTAGAAGAGCTCTAAAAATCTTGTGAAGAATGGTAAGAAAAAAAATAATTTTTAACATTTAATCAGCATTTCAATTCTATAACTAGCACTGAGGTTTGTTTATCAATTTGCACGCGCTCGTCGTTACTATGACGTCAAAAGTCGTAAGGGGACGAATTATGGGTACACTAGGATAAAAGTCGGAATTTCCTCGTAAACAATTCACACAAAAATTTATAAATCGGATAATTCTGCTGAAAATAATGCTCCAGAGGATTGATGAAGTACTTCGTAGCTGCAGATCAAATGTGCGTGCATGTCTACACACGGCCTGTGGCTTGTGTGGTAAGAAATGCTCAACTTCACATGATTTCCAACTTTCAGTTTGTAAACATGTGTTCGACTTTTGGGACACACTAATAACCGGATATACGAAAGACCTGATATTTACCTGATGTTTTTATTTTAGATTAAATGACAATATTGAGTACTTCAAATGACTTTTTTAAATACTTTATGACTATGATGCATAATACTATACAAAAATTCGTTTGTTTGGAATATTTACTGACGATTTTGAATCAGGTCAAATAAGGTTTTTAGTATATCAGGTCTTTAGTACCTTCCCATTTCCCACAATGCCGCGCGTTGTTTACAAACAAGAGGCCCCGAAAAGACTTCCTCTTAACTAATGCAGAAATATTTTGATTTTACTTATTGCTGTGTACATCACATTATATTAATTATTTGAATAAAAAGAAAACAGAGAAACACCGAATCAAAAAAATATCTTTCAGATGCATCGATCAACTAAAACTATGCAAGAGGCCCAGTAAAGGCTTGGCTATAGTAGACAACTTGTTCCTGTAAGGTTTCTCACATATTTGTTTTATAAAAAAGTATTAAATATAGCTTGAAGTTTATTTCTCCTTATATCAAACGACAAGATTTAATCAGTTCGAAATTATTTCAGTCAAACTTTTTCATAATATACCAATATTTTTAGCTATCAGATAAAAATGTGTATGAGCTATTAACCCCTAATTATAGGGGTCAGCCCCTTTTCCTTGATCTTATATGAAAGCTCTTGTAATTATGCACAACTTTTGTAATATATTTCTTACCAAATTATTCTCGGTTCAAAAGTTATTATACAAAAAGAAGCAAAATTTCATGAAAAAAAATTACTAAAAATTGCCGTCACATAGCTTCCGATCTTTTAAAAATCAGCTTATAATTTTATCGTTATGCACATCTACAATGTATTGGCTACAAGTTCTCCAACTTTCATGTAATTATCATATGTCGTTATTGAGATTATTAGTGGACACGAGACATCAAAATTATCAATTAAAGGGCAATAACTCACAAAGTAAGGCAGGTATCAAAAAATTGAAAGCAGATGTAAATAGGTGTAAATACAAGGTATCTAACCTGAAAGTTTCATAAAAATCAGTCGAAAGGTCTTTGAGAAATCGCCTGTCAAAAATCCGGCGGGAAAAAAAAAGCAAATAATAATAAGAAACAGTAGAATAACAGTAGGGTCTTCCGAAGGAAGCTCGGAAGACCCTAATAAAAGTGAAAAAAAACAATAGAATAATAGAAGGGTCTTCCGTTGGAGACGGAAGACCCTAATAATAACTAGAAACGATCTCGTTGCGAGCAACGAGAGGTCTTCCGTCCAATTCTGAAATAAAAAACGAAAAATCTAGCTGAAAAAGTCATAAAAAAATATCGGTCACACGGGGGATCGAACCCGGGTCGCCCGCGTGAAAATCCAACGCGCTAACCATTACGCCATCGGGAACGCCGCTTCAAATTTTTAAATGCGAATATCTCGAGACTGGCTTTTTCAATTCTAAAACAAATTACATATTTCGCATTCTGTAAAGCGTCTCTATTAACCATATAAAAATAAAAAAAAAATAATGAAAAACAAAAAAGTTGAAAATTTTAATTTTTTTAATTAGCTTCCGGTAGCGACCGGAAGTATTGACGACACACGGAAAGGACATTCCGCATATCTAGAAGTCATGCCCTATGTTCTCCAACAAGTCTCCATTTCATATCTTTAGTAGTTCTTTAGATCTCGAACTGACAAAATTTCATTTTAAAATCAGAAAAATGGCCATAACTTGGCACCGGAAGCGACTTGTTCCAAAATTTTTCCAAAATTAACAATGGCATATAAGAGCGCATCATCCCTGAAAGTTTGATGAAAAACCGATGAATAGTTCTCGAGATATCGCGTGCACAAAATTTGTCTAAAAAATAAGAATAATAATAATAACTAGAAACGATCTCGTTGCGAGCAACGAGAGGACTTCCGTCCGATTCTGAAATGAAAAACGAAAAATCTAGCTGAAAAAGTCGCAAAAAAAAATTCAGTCACACGGGGGATCGAACCCGGGTCGCCCGCGTGAAAATCCAACGCGCTAACCATTACGCCATCGGGAACACCGCTTCAAATTTTTACATGCGAATTTCTAAAGATTGGCTTTTTTAATTCTAAAACAAATTACACATTTCGCATTCATTTAAGAATCTCTATTAACCCTATAAAAATGACAGGAAAATAATGAAAAACAAAAAAGTTGAAAATTTTAATTTTTTTAATTCGCTTCCGGTAGCGACCGGAAGTACTGACGACACACGAAAAGGACATTCCGCAAATCTAGAAGTAATGCCCTATGTTCTCCAACAAGTCTCCAGTTCATATCATTAGTAGTTCTTTAGATCTCGAACTGACAAAATTTCATTTTAAAATCAGAAAAATGGCCATAACTTGGAACCGGGAGCGACTTGTTCCAAAATTTTACCAAAATTATCAATGGCATATAAGAGCGCATCATCCCTGAAAGTTTGATGAAAAACTGATGAATAGTTCTCGAGATATCGCGTGCACAAAATTTGTCTAAAAAATAAGAATAATAATAATAATAACTAGATACGATCTCGTTGCGAGCAACGAGTGGGTCTTCCGTCCGATTCTTGATAAGATGAGATAAGATTTTGAATGAGAATTTTATTCTAAAATAATGATAAAGATTGTGAAGAAGAACGATTTTGCCTCCATAATCTGTAAACAAACATTGAACATAAAGACTCAAAAATTCGACTTTGGCCCCTCACGGCCCCTAATATTAGGGATCAGTCCTTTTTTCTTCATATTATCTTTAACCTCTCAGGATTTTGAACACTTTTTGTTCAACAACTATTCAGAGATTCTCTTTCGTTTTTGAGTTATTTGAAATATTTAGGGGCCAACCCTTCAACTCCTTAATGGGGACATTTAGCGAAAAATGAAAGGTTGCATATTATTCAGAACATTATTTTGAACATCTTTTGTTCAATACTACTTATCAAAATATTTCCCAATTTTGAGATATAATGCGTCAAAGATTGAGCACTTTGGCCCCTTGTGGCCCCTTATTATGCACCATACGACATTCAAATCATAATATATAGTTGTAGATTGTTGAGATAAACATTCTTGCTTCAGTAATGTTTAACAAAATATTGACTGCTAAAGAGTTATCGATTAAAGACTTTTGGCCCCTTTTGGCCCCTAATTTGAGTTCCCAGTCCCTTTTTTTGATCTGATTTTAAAGCTCTTTGGATTTTGAACACTTTTTGTTCAACAACTATTCAGAGATTCTTTTTCGTTTTCAAGTTATTTACAAAAGAAATATTTAGGGGCCAACCCTTCCACTCCTTAAAGGGGATGTATAGCGAAAAACTAAAGGTTGCATAGTGTTCAGAACATTATTTTGAACATCTTTTGTTCAATATTACTTATCAAAGTATTTTCCACTTTTAAGATATAAAGCGTCAAAGATTTGGCATTCTGGCCCCTTATGGCCCCTTATTATGCACCATACGACATTCAAATCATAATATATAGTTGTAGATTGTTGAGATAAACATTCTTGCTTCAGTTATGTATAACAAAATATTGACTGCTAAAGAGTTATCGATTAAAGACTTTTAGCCCCTCTCTGCCCTTAATTTGAGTGCCAAGCCCCTTTTTCTTGATCTCATCTTGAAGCTCTCAGGATTTTGAACACTTTTTGTTCAACAACTATTCAGAGATTCTCTTTCGTTTTGGAGTTATTTGCAAAAGAAATATTTAGGGGCCAACCCTTCAACTCCTTAAAGGGGACGTATAGCGAAAAACTAAAGGTTGCATATTGTTCAGAACATTATTTTGAACATCTTTTGTTCAATATTACTTATCAAAATATTTCCCTCTTTTGAGATATAAAGCGTCAAAGATTTAGCATTCTGGCCCCTTATGGCCCCTTATTATGCACCATATGACACTCAAATTGTAATATATAGTTGTAGATTGTTGAGATAAACATTTTTGCTTCAGTAATTAATAACAAAATATTGACTGTTAAAGAGTTATCGAATAAATACTTTTGGCCCCTCTCGGCCCCTAATGTGATGAGTCAGCACATTTTTCTTGATATCATATTAAAGATCTTGTCATTTTGCACAAATATTGCTCAGTATCTTTTAACAAAATAATTATACTTTAAAAGATATGATGCAAAATGTCTCAAAAATTCAGTCATGATACGTGTCCTAGATTTTGACCCCTACCGAGCTTCCATACTTGGCATTTCCGGAAAATTTGAAAACGATTGTGCATCTTGACAACATGTCCTTTATCTTTGGTAAAAATTTCAGTGTTCTAGCGTTAGCCGTTCTTGAGTTCTGGTGATGACAAGGAGGTCCTCTAAATTTTGATTAAAGGGCAATAACTTCCGACCGGAAGTGATTTTCGAAAAAATGAGAAAAACGGATCAGGTTTAGTTGACGACACACCTTTCCTGAAAATTTCAAGTTAATCGATCGAGCCATCTCCGAGAAATCTTCTGCACAAAAATTGTAAGAAGAAAAAGAATAATAACTAGATACGATCTCGTTGCGAGCAACGAGTGGGTCTTCCGTTCGATTCTTGATGAGATGAGATCAGATTTTGATTGAGATTTTCCATATTCTGTAAAAAGACATTGAACAATAAAGACTTCAAAAATCGACTTTTGGCCCCTCACGGCCCCTAATATTAGGGATCAGCCCTTTTTTCTTCATAACATTTTAAAGCTCTCAGGATTATGAACATTTTTTGTTCAACAACTATTCAGAGATTCTTTCTCGTTTTCGAGTTATTCGGAAAAGAAATATTAAGGGACCAGCCCTTCTAGTCCCTAATGGGGACGATTAGAGAAAAATGAAAGGTTGCATATTGTTCAGAACATCATTTTGAACATCTTTTGTTCAATATTACTTATCAAAATATTTCTCACTTTTGAGATACAAAGCGTCAAAGATTTTGCCTTCTGGCCCCTTGTGGACCCTAATTATGTAA